GTAAGCTAATAGACTCTCCTCTCCTTGTGGTGTTACGTAATTGTTGAATGGTCCCTAACTATATATCTTCGTCATAGAATCGGATCGGCGCGAGTCCCATCTTCTCGGCGTAACTCGTCTCTTGACTTTTGCTACGGCTTAATTGTGAGACGCCGATCGCAGCGGCATCGAAGAAAACGCGTTGACATTATAACATCTGATAATTGATAACTGATAATTTTATGCACAAGAGAGACAAGTCAGAGGTACAAGTATCATACCGAGTAATATTTTGCTTCGCAGACTTAACGATGATTTTGGAAGATATTTAACCGTAGAGTCGAGGAAGAGGAAGGAAGGGGCTAGGAAGCATTGATTCGATGTAATTCGGCAGTTAGCTTCGTCACGGCGGTCATTATCGAGTGCACTACGCCGGTTACGTGTCCCACGCGAAGGCCACACCTTACCGGGGGGCAACATCCTGCGGAGAGTTCGCTTTCACGAATCCACGCCTGTCATTCATTCGATGATTCAATCCCGTTTCCTAACAACCTAGCCATCAATCGGCTTTAAGAGATTCATGAATCTTTTATGAATGAAATAGCAGGCGGATCGAAATAGATGCTTTGTGTACGGAGCATGCCCTAGATTGAACGAATATCCTTTCGATCAGTAATTTTAGCTTCCCCCACAGCTACTTCGGGGGTGATTTTTTTTTAACAGAAACAAGACGACCTTTCATCTTTTTCCGTTCCCGATTGTAATTTCTCTCAATTCTAATTTCCAACCGTATGTGTGTATATATTTCCGAATTTGATTAAAATTATCATCATTACGAAATCTCGCATCAACTTACGGCTGAATATCGGAATACGTTGCGACTGTGGGTACGTTTTAACGATGAAATTCATCATTTCTCGAGTATATTGTCAAATATATCTGCTTCCTGGAAGGATAGGTCTCACGGATCTACAAGGACCGGTCGATTGGCAATCCGGTGAGCATAGCCGTGATGAAGATCGTGAAAACCGACGTGATGTTCGGCGAGAAGCATACCGGAAGCGACGGGATCGCGGCGGCTGAAATGTTGAAGCGATTTTGCAATTGGCAGAAGCACAACAATCCGGACGAGCCTTCCCCGGAACACCACGATGCCGCGCTCCTTTTAACCAGGTTTGTATCAGACGTGCAAACTTCAAACTGTACAAATTGTAAATGTGTACTCGGTGGTGGAAGGCTCGCTTTTGCTTTAAAATTGTAAAATTTAACGAGCTTTGGTCTTCACGACGTTATTGCCAACAACTACGCGTTTGCATAACAATTCCATACAGATCGAACAATACGATAGCAATATAGCGAATGTGACGTCGGATTGATCACGCACGAATGCTTGTTTCGGAGCTATTCGCGAGCGTTGAAAGACTCGGTGGATTTCTATTATTTACGATAAAAGTGTTACAAATAAAAGAATTTGAAAAAAGAGAGCTTCGGCGCGTTCAGACGTTAAGGACTCGAGACGCACCGAGACGGATTGCGCGTGCGTTTCTAAAACACAGGATGAATTTCTAGAGAAAATCTGTGTCACAATCCGGGGCAGATGCGTTGTGACACTCTGGGATTAGCCGAGCTCGGTAGAATGTGCTCGCCAGGATCTTCGTGCGCTATTGTGCAGGACAATGGATTGGCCGCGGCGTTTACCATCGCTCACGAGATCGGTCATGTGTGAGTACATTATCGGCGACAGCCGATTGCCATTCTTACTCGCCTCGTGCGATCTTTTCATTATTATTCAAGTAGCATCGCGCGTATATACACTTTATCGTGAGAGAGCGCGTTGTTGCGTCCTTCGCTAAAGGGGAATATTCCGAATGAACTGCCGCAGGCTCAACATGCCGCATGACGACGACCCCAAGTGCGCGGGCTTCAGGAACCGCTCGGGCGTGCACAACGTGATGTCCCGCATGCTGGACGACAATACCTTCCCCTGGGAATGGTCGAAATGTTCCCGGCACTATGCCACCGAATTTCTCGAGTGAGTCAATCATTAGTCGACAAACGACTCGGACGCGACGCGCTCGACCGGGAGGAGAGAGAAAGATCATCACGAGTTGACCCGCGACCGCGACCCGATACGATACCACAACAACACGCGGGCTTTGTCTGTGTCGCGTTAATCTGCCCCTTTTTCTCGTGCGACGCACTTCCTCGCGAGATCTTCGAGAATAATCATAGACTAGTTCTCGAAACTTGTCTACGCGACGATGATAACATATGGTTCCCGTTTAACCCTTCGATCTGACCGGGGCTTTCGAGTCCCCGCCGTTAACTCCCGGCGAATCCAAGTCGAGCGAAACTGGGGATGTCGGAGTTTTTTCTCCGTGAACCTACCGAGGCGGCCTGGGGAGGGACGAGTCGTGGAAATCCGGTTTAACGAGATTCGGGGAGGACTCTCGTGCGTCTCTCGTCGCGCGAAATGCGAACTCGAAGGGGTTTTTCGCTGATACCGTCTTTGAACGGTCTTTCATCATCGAACCGTCTTCAATGACGTATCTCTCTCGCGACAACCAGGCGCGATTCGGAGATCCTCTAATTCGCGCCGACTTGCTTCAGAACCGGGTACGCCAACTGCCTATTAGACGAGCCCAGCAAGATGATGGAGAGGCAGGACGGTCGCTTACCCGGCGAGGATTATTCGGAGAACAAGCAGTGCGAGCTCGTGTTCGGGCAAGGCTCCCGAATCTGCCCTCACATGGTGAGTGATGGTAAGTCGAAAACGTTCTCTTCACGGATCCGATTGAAACTGATTTTCTATCTTATATCTCAGCGGGACACACACACACACACACACACACACACACACACACACACACACACNCACCTTCATCTTCGCTCGTGTTTTATTCTCACCTCATTTCGCACCTTTGTTCGTTCTAAGCTATCTCTCTGCTGTTCTTGCTCAATGAGGATCTATAATGAGAGCTGCGCTAATGCGTAGCTTAATGCGTTATCGTTCGCTGCAATCAAGCGCTATTATTCTCTCCCATCTCACCGAAGTCCGTCCTGCCTACTCCTGCGCGCAACCTTTCGCTCAGTTGCGTTGAGTCACATACATATCAAGCGACGAACCGTTGTCGGCCGTTCAACGGGTTATTTGTGTTTGCGTAAATTCATGCTGTGTCAGCGTCGTTGTGCATCGTCCCCTCCGTGCGTGTGTACATTGCGTACCGTACTGTCGAATAAACATAGTTGTCATCTTGACTAAACTTTTAATTAGGCGGGCGACGATAGTATCAGCTGCAAAGCTGTTACTTCGCCGTTTGATCGTCTCGTCTCGCGACACAATCAAACGCATCTATTACGCACGAACAGTTAGACGCCTTGTAACCTATACAGCCCAATCAACTTATATACAGCCCAATCAACTTATTACCATTATCATTATTGCACCATTATGTCATTATTATTGTTACACACTGACTGCCGATACTCGGACAGCATAAATATCGAAGAAAACGTCTAAAAGAGACATCCTACTTGTTTTAAACTTTGTTTCTTTGTCTTTTAGAATTGTCTCGAAGACCTATTTCAGACATGTCTGCTGTCCGGGTACTTAATACGTGATCTATTACATTGAAAGTAATTAAGAAATAAAACGAAACTAATTCTTTGAGAGGGCAAGCGAAATTGCAGTTATGTTTAACACGTTCACGCTGATTCATAATTTCCTACCTTTCGTGCCGGGCGGCACGAGGCGACATGAGAATATCCGGTTTACCAATGCCGACGAGGTAATGCTAAAGACCATTGACTTTTTGCAGGATTCAATGCGTTCGACATGCGACTTATTGTGTTTAATAGGTTTTCTAGAGACAAAAATACTACCAGCTAGGGACCCTGAATGAAATGAAATCTCTGTCAGATATCACGGATGTCGGATGCAGTGTGAATTCTGCGTTACGGAATTTAACGCACAGAAGAAAATTTCGCTGCTTAATAACTTCCAGTCGATAAATTTTTCGGCAAATTTGCGTCTAATCAACGTAGACGGTAACTGCAGAAATAACTGCAGAGTGCGATTTCACAAAAATATTTAATGTACTTCATATCGGGTGATTAAAAGTGATATATAATGTCACTTTCCTTCAATTACCTCCGGGCCGGTACGAAAATGTACCCAGGACTAAAAAAGAAGAGTCTTTAATATTACTTCAATATTACTTCGTCGGTGCTGGAGCTTAATAATAATAGTAATAATAATAATACAATTGCTTCTCCATTGTTGTTCTCTGTTGTATTTCATCCGAATTACTACACACTGACCGCGATAAGGATATTATGTCTGACCTGATCGTGGATGAGGTCAAGCCGGCGTGAACGCGTTAAGCCTCAGAATCTTCTCGATGCGCGCATTAAAACGAGCCGTTGCTTAAGAATTGAGGTAAACTGAGGGCTTGGTTGGTTACCGGCCAGGCAGTGTGTAGGAGATTGTGGTGCACCGCGCCATTGTGGGACCATCATCAGCAGTGTCATACTCAGCACATGCCGTGGGCGGACGGTACCTCGTGCGGCGTCGACAAGTGGTGTCACCGTGGCGAGTGCGTCTCGCGCAGGAATCTCAGGCCGGTGGATGGCCAATGGGGCGAATGGGGGAGATACGGCGAGTGTACGCGCACCTGCGGCGGCGGTGTCAAGAGGAAGTATCGCGAGTGCGACAATCCGGCGCCGAAGAACGGCGGCAATTACTGCATCGGCGAACGCGTCAAGTACCGCAGCTGCGGCGTCAGGGAGTGTCCACCGGGTAGCCCGGATTTCAGGTACGCGTCAACGCGTTGCGCGCCAAAACTATCGTTAGTGAAGTTCCTCAGGAAGAGAGAGGGAGAGAATGACTTCTTAAACTACAAGAAATTGTTCTCTCTCTGTTATTTGTCATCTTTACGTGGAATGAAACTAACTTCCTCCAGGTTTTACCTGGTAGAGTCACTTTCCGGGAATAGATGAATCAACATGGGGGCATGACTGTACCAATTAACGTTGTATCAATTAATGCCGGAGATAGATCAATGAGGCGAGCCCATTCCAGAATGGAAGCGTATGCACAATCGTGTTTGAGACCCGTCAAGGAGTTTTAATAAGCACATATTAATCTCGATGATTCATTGCTGTACTTTCAACATTAGCACTCGTTCCTTTTCCTCTTTCCTTTTGCAGAGAGCAGCAGTGCTCGAAATTCGACAACAACACGTTCAACATTCAGAATCTCACGAGGGAAGTCAAGTGGCACGCGAAGTACACTCGAAGTAAGCGATCATTCGACTCGGCACTTCGACTTTTTGTCCTCACTCTTGTTGATTTTATGCTCATTCGAGCTCACCTTGAACATTCGAAGCTTAATTCAGCTTCGAAGTTGCAAGAAGCGCCGCGAGAGCGGACAGTTGTCATGCAACGTGAGAAACTTTCGTTTTACAGTACCGTCCGAAGAGCGTTGCAAGCTGTACTGCCACGTGAAGAGCTATCAGTATTACATGTTGCGCGACAAGGTGATCGACGGGACACCCTGCGGCCCCGACACTTTTCACATATGCGTTAACGGCCAGTGCAAGCCGGCCGGATGCGATCACGTCTTGAATTCGACGGCCGAGCTCGACACTTGCGGAGTCTGCCGGGGTGACAACTCCACTTGTCAGAGGATCACCGGTTCCTACAACGAGAGCGTGTACGGTTACACGAGAGTGGCTAAGATTCCTGCCGGCAGCAGCTACATCGATATCAGGCAACGTGGCTGGCTGGAGTCGCACAATGACAGCAATTATCTCGGTAAAATCTTCCCGTCGCAATTCAGTCGTCTGTAGTTTACGACTGTGAGGAGACCGATTCGACATCACTCTGTGGAAACCCTTGCACGATACACCCGAGTCGAAATTTCATTTCTACACTAAAGTCTTCTATCATGCTCTTTAGATGCTACAAATGGGAAGTTATTACCGTTTTCTCTTAATGTAGGTTTCATCAATGTTATAGAAGCCTTGTTGATAGCGTAATTATCATAAGACACGCATTATTCGACGAGCAAAATTCGGCTCGTAACGGGACAACGTGGGCCAATTTATGAGAAGTCGCGTGAAATTAGGCACGGGATGTGTTGAAACAAGCGAATCCCCGCGAATCTCTCCGAAGTCTCTCCGAGTGGTTTCTCTCGATATAAGAATTAGAATCTGAATTCGCCTTCTGCGAGAAGAATTCGACTGGACTTGATGACTGAGAGCGCGTCGCGGTGTATTGTGCAGCGTTGCGGATCGGGGAGAACGGCGAGTACGTCCTGAACGGCAACTTCATGGTGATGCATCGCAAGGTGATCGTGCACCCGGGCGTCACCATCGAATACAGCGGACCGGAATCGATCGTCGAGCGGCTCAACAGTTCCCGGCCGACCGCCATCGATCTAATTCTGGAGGCAGGTCCACTCATTCATATATTCGATTACTTTCGATCAGTCAGACCGGGGAGGCCCTTTTCGTTCGCCGACGCGAGTCCGGCTCAAGCAAGCGTACGATATTCCAGGTGTTATCCGTAGGGAACGTGTACCCGCCGCAGATTACGTACGAGTACACTGTGCCGAAGAAGATTCTGAACAGCTTTACGTGGCTGCTCAATGACTGGTCGACTTGCAATCGGATGTGCCAGGGTATGAAGTATCGTAAGGCCGAGTGCAGGAGTACCGAGCACAAGGACGTAGTGCCCGACGACTATTGCAGAGCCGAGGACAAGCCGCAGGAGGAGAGTCAAGTATGCAACGCGCATTGCATGCTGCAGTAAGTAAACGATACATTTCATGATGTTACGTTTAACTGAATCGATTAATTGATGTTCACTCGTTAATCGCAAAATGCGATATTTCTGAACCCTGATAAGAAACTCTGTATGTAGATATTAAATTCTTTATTTCGCTGGGGACCAGACGAAATCTCGGGAATCGTAGTAAGAGGAAGATTCTTGTAAGAAGTTTCTGCTCTCAGTTTGGTCGAGTTGTCTTGATTGAATTTTTCCAACTGTTGGTGTTTACGCGAATACGCTCAATCGCGATAACAGAAACGTCATTTCTTGTCATCGAGTTTTCATCCGGCCGCTATTCACTTGCAGGAACTGAGTTTTATTTCCGTGCATCAACACCGATGCAACAGGATATACAGGATAAAAATGAAAGTGTGCGTTCAAGTCGTTTTGCAAGCTAGTATATACCGTTAAGTCCTGTCTTGAGTACTTATATATCTGAACCCCTATTTCCTGTTTTCCATTTTGATCCTATCGAAGGTAACGTTCGCCATGCGTTACTGGCTTTCCCACTTCTTTTGTCGCGCGAAAATCAGGATTCATATATTGTTTAATTGCCTCGTACATACCAGAGCTAAAACTAAAATTCAAAGTGCCGTCGTTCTACCGGCGATTTGTCGGCTGAGTTACATTGAAAGCTGCCTCACGTTCCAGATGGCAGACGACTTCCGTGTCCGAGTGTTCGAGTCACTGCGGCCCGGGCGTCCAGACCATCACCTCGCGATGCGTCCAGGTCTTGTTGGACTCGGCGCATCCCCCACGGCCGATATCGGCGCACGCGTGCTTGCACATCGAGAAACCGGGCGAGCATCAGCCCTGCATGGGTCCGTGCGACGACGCTCACTGGAGCTACAGCGAGTGGAACGCCTGCAGCGTGTCGTGCGGCGGCGGCGTGCAGTTGAGGAGCGCCAAGTGCGTCGACTCGAACGAACGACAGGTGCGAGATGAGAACTGCGCCGGACAAGAGAAGCATCTCAAGAGGATATGCGGTCAAGAAGCTTGCCCGAAGTGGGACCTGGGAGAATGGAGCCCGGTGAGTTACGTGGCGCGCAGGGCGGGACGTGTAAAGCGTGCGACGTATCAATGTCTTTCTCGAGTGTTCGGGACTCGAAGACGCGCGCGTCTCGAGCGATACGCGAGGTCTCTCGGAGGAAGCTCTCGTCCGTCACGCTTTAACCGCCTCAGCCCTCAGCCGATATCGAGTAACATTTTACTCGAGCACTTTGAGTTGAATTAATGTGAAACGCGTGCGTCACGAAATGTCGCAGTGTTCCGTGACATGCGGCGTGGGAAAACGGCACAGAGACTCCTGGTGCCATGTCGAGAATCGCGTGGTACCGCGTACCTTCTGCAGCGGTACGCCAATCGGAACGACGGAGGTCTGCGATGCAGGTCCTTGTCATTACTGGCATGCCGGCGACTGGAGTCCGGTACTGTACATCATCATCATCATCATCATCATGATCACCATTACCCGAGATCAACATTTTCTTATTAAGTTTGCGGTTTCCCTTCCTTAAAGAGAATCACCGATTCCAGATCCGTTTTCTTTTTTTTTTTTCTAGAGATCATGTAAATTTTCTTTATACAGTTGGGATGAGTATATCGACGACAATGATGCCTATCTTGATCGATGAAAGTAACTTCACATTTTCGCTCTCGGCTTCATATCACACATAAAACAAAGTTCTCGCGATGAAACTTAATTATTATAATATAATAATTAAGTTTCACACAAATTATATATATATGCATATATCCATATATATTATTTTATATATATTATATATTATATTAATTATTATAATTATTTTATCATTTTCGAAGGATGTCACGATAGAAACGACTTTACGGTCCTTACGGTCTCCGAACTATCAGGACACCGTGAGGCTATCACTTAACTCGATTCATCACGTAAATCACACGGAGAAAATTAGTCTTAAGAATAGATATTCACGTACATAAACAAGAATATTATGATCTTCTTAGAAGATTTTTAGCCTTGATTGGATTTGTATCGATGCAAGTATTACTCGAACTCAATTTAGGATTAAAAATCTCCTAAGAATATTATAACATTTTTGCTTATACATAAGAATATCTATCTTGATTTGAGACTAACTTTTTTTTCCCGTGCACTTATTACCACTATTAACATCATTATCCATTAAATCACCGACCTACCGATCCAGCCTATCAAAATACCGCATTGACATTTTCGGTAACGTTTAAACGTAACAGCATGGTTTAGTATACACATCGCGACTTGGACGATTATATCGAACCTGCTTTGCGAGTCACCGGATCGAATAGATTTTCTTATTGTGCAGTGTTCGGTGACGTGTGGTGACGGAACGTTACGAAGAAAAGTTATCTGCAAGAGTGCCGACGGCGTGACGAGCGACAAATGCCCCGTCTCGGAGAAACCGGATGACTCGGCTCCCTGCACGCTGAAACCATGCCCCGTTGTAAGTTTTCTCCCGTGCTAATCAACATAAACATGTCCGCGATGCACTCATAAATTTCGATCGTTCCTCCGTGCGTATGAGGGAATCACGTTGAAGTAAGTCGAATTCAATTCTTTTGTGATGAATGTTGTTCACAAAAAAAATCTCGAGTTTGCCGCGGGACTTCTCACGGTACAGTTTCGCAGTTTGTCACCGGACAGGTCAGCTGTTGTGTTACGTTCAAAAAACAAGAGGAGAAATCTCTTCTCTTTTCACAGGTGAGCCCACCACCAGTCATATATTCGTCCAATCCGTCGCGCGACGATCTCTCGCAACAGGAGAACGAAATTGATAGCAACGGCATCACATTCCGCTCGGGTTACAAGTGGCACACGGGATCGTATAGTGAGGTAGGCTAGGTTGATTTCGTTACAAGATTTTCCCTCACGGATGCCCCGTGACGTATACCACACAGCGTTCATGACATTCGTTGTATCCGTCGTCAGTGCTCGAAGTCGTGCGACACCGGATACAAAATCAGGATCGTCAAGTGTGTATCCTCGGAGACGGGTACCGTTGCGCCCGATTATTATTGCAATTCGCATCAACGACCGGCGGCCAGGAGCGCGTGTAATCGCCATCCGTGTCCAGCTTGGGTCACCAGTGACTGGAGTGAGGTAAGTCTACCTGTATATGTTAATACATCGAGTTTTTCATGCTAATTCCGTTATGTCAACGTGATTTATACCACCGAGGAGAGATAGAACGCGGGCTTATGAGAGTCTGATCGCGGCTGCTGTAGCGACATATTAGCTTTAATTTTGCATATAAATGTCGAATACAATTAAATGTAGGCTTTTAGATCAACGAATCGTTTTTTAATTTAAATCAGGTCTATGAGAGCCAAACGCTAAGTATAAGCGCGTAAGAATAATTTGGATTATATAGTCTTTTTAAGTTCCAGAAATACCGGTTTCCTTTTCAACTTTTCCGCAGATTTCTCCGGTTTCTGTCCCAAAAGTATGAAAATCCGTTTAAAAAATTACTTAGTAAATATTTATTTTTTCCATAAATAAGATAAGAAACAAAAAAGAAATCCAAAAATCTAAGAAGCCGAGAGAAAAATTGGGAAGATACGGTTTTTTCTTCCGAACTTTAAAATTGTAATTTAGATAACGATTTCTTCTTCCGAACTTTAAAATTATAATTTAGATAACATTATCGTACATCCTTACATATATAACACAATTAAATCTTTACATACATACAGACGTTTCAGTCCTCCTTTGAACCGTTATCATTGTGAACGACAATCTTCCGGGTATAATAAATATACACAACGTAGCGCGAGCGTCAGAAACGATCGACGGACGATGAACTTTTCAGATAAAAAATCGCAATAGATCAATGAATCCATAAATGCGTCAGTCAGGTCAATATTTAACCTGCGATAACGACTCGGGGCTCTTACAGGTCCGCTCTCTCCTTGCTTGGTTACCCACAGAGTCGATGTAAATAATAAGCTCGTGATTCCAATTTGCACTGATTTCACCTAAATGCAGAACCGTTTGCAACGGTACAATCGGCAACGGAATCATTTTTATATCACCATATATTACGCCTGTGCTTTATTAATGCTCCCTTCGACGATTGCAACGATTCAGTGCGACACAGAGTGCGACCGTGGTTTCCAACACCGTCAAGTTCGCTGCCAAAGTCGCCGGGGCGAGATTCTGCCGGACAGGGAATGCAACGAGCAACGACCGAAGCACATACGAAGGTGCCAGGAGCCCTGTCGGGACGGTCCCAAGTTTAACAGGGAGAATAATTTCGATTCTAACATTGTTCGCAGATGGAGAATGTCCGATTGGACTCCCGTAAGTGTAATTCGTTAATCTCTAAATTCTGTAAAAAAAATGATAATCCCTCACACCGATAAGATCATTGTTCACCGGACCCTGATCTCTTCAATATCAAGAACGAATGGATCGACGCGTGAACGAGGAACAATAATAACTGTCAGGGCTCGATTTGCGTGAAAATCTCCCGAAAAAAAAAGAGAAATATAAATAAATCGAAAGAGAGAAAAGAGTGGCGGAAAACTGCGGAGCGATGGTTGGTAAATGCGTGGCTCACGCGATTTCTCTCGCCGAGTGTGTGACTACCGCCGGTGACGATGTGTGAGGTGAGAGCTTGCAGCGAATCGAAAATATTTTGCAGTGCTCGAAATCGTGCGGCCACGGGATTCAGACGCGAAGAGTGGAATGTGTGATCAGAAGAGGCAGCCACGGGCCGGAGATTCCTGTTAAGGATGAGCAGTGCTCGAGAACGAAACCGCGCAAACCGAAATCGCAGAGATTATGCCAACGCATTGCCTGCGACTACACCTGGCAAGAGGGCACCTGGTCGGAGGTATCTTCGTACCTCTACCTCTTACGCCAGCATTGTACGCTCGTAATGGCTTGCTGCTATGTTTTGCGCGCGTTCTAACGTCTCGTTAGCCTTCGAGAGCAATGCAACGTGAAAGTAAAACCGAGTTATCACAGTTTTATATTACGCACGTATGTTTGTGCACAGTCATGTGATATTGACCCGGATTTCGGCGCAACGATCGCGGCGTCAGGAAAGTGTCGACTGTGACGAGTAAAAACGGATACTGTGTTTATACCGGGTTTCTTCCAAACTTTTTCTCTCTTAATCGCTCCTCTTTTATCCCAAGTATCCCGTGACTTTAATATGAACGTACCAATGTACTAATATATATACAATGTTAATCCGGATCCACAATAGGTGTAGTAAGCATTTAGCCTTGTACTCGAGGCAATAGAAGATAATGTGATTTTTGACAAAAGGCGTTTGCCGCGTTGCCAAAAGCGTTACAATAACGCTTGAATCGTAGGGATGTGTGAGGTGAGGTAATGTTGGAGACGTTTTTTGCCAAAAATCAATTTAGAGCTAAAGACTTCCCAAACAACACGTATATCCGAAAGAAATTTCAAAGATGTCCTTCAGACGTCTTCACGACTTATGTTATCCTGACTACCGCACCTATTGCCGATCCGGACTTATCGTACTTACTTACTTATCTCAACCCTATTTCCCGTCTGCCATCCTGATCCCATCGAAATTAACATTCATACGTTTCACCGTATGTTAGTGGAGATTTTCCCACAATTTTGTCGCGCATACGCGAAAATCCTGGCCAATATCACATCACTGTTAGTGTGTGTACCACATGTGTGTGTATACCACGAAGGAAATAACAATTACCGCAGCAAGAATATATCCATAAGTAACTAATCTTGACGGATCGTATCGGAAATGGGTTCCATAGACGCTACAGCGGACCATAGAAGAAGAGATGCATGGTGATTGTTGATCGATGGTTGTCGTGAGGGAACGTCGTCAAATCCGGCCAAGACACTTAGAAGCTGGTCCTTTCTTGTGCATGTGTTGATCTCGCATTGTTATGAAATCGGAATTTCTTGAGGATGCCCGCACGAAAGTCCTTTCCAATTTCGCCCGAGTTCGGTGAGCTCCGAAGCGTTAGATATATTAAATATTTCAGGCATCGGAAATATTACGAGATACAAGTACGATATTCATTAAACGGGCTTGAAACATTCTTTCGAATTCCAAAATCAAAACTTGCCTGAGGGGAAGATTGTTCGTTCCAATATGTTACGAAGTGTAATGCTCGGTGCACTCGCGGAAAGAAAGTACGTTCGCAGGCATCCTATGTAGAATAACAATATATTTTTACGGACGTACAGGCGATCATTGTTGTTTCTACGGTTTCTAACACGGAAATGATTAACGTGGATTAGTCATAAGTGGATGGTCCCCGAAATATTAGGTCTCGCTGAGTCCTCTAACATTAGGCTGTATATTTAGCGACTGTTTGCCGAAGTAATAATATAAAGTAACGATTACACGTTCACGATACGACATACGGTAGGATCCCTCGCGTGCATCATCGTCACTAACGTGTGTGTAACCTGCACTTGATTTAGCGAAACGTTATCGCATTGAATGTACAGTCACACGTATATAACATTAATAATCGGTACGATACTCGAAGAGGGTAAAGCGCCGCATATTGCTCCCACATTCTACAGAGTGTCGTTCGAGTTCTGCGTCGTGTGTGTGTCAGGCCCTCTTGACTGGATATATTAATGAAGTAACAACGGTCTGGAACACGGTCATAGATCTGTACTTTCGTTTCGGATCACGCATGAAGCATGTGTCCGGTTTGAGATCGTTCGCGTTAATTCGCCGAGTGACGCGCGGGAGACACACGTTTCGCGTGTCTCAGCGTGTGTGCAACGAAAGAACCTATTCTTAAATTAACGTACGATTTACGTTTAATTAACGACGGATGTATGAGACTCTTACAATTATAATTAGTGGAATCTTATGGTATACGCGGCGTGCGGGACACGTCAATGAATATATTCTCTCGTTGCGCGACGGCTCCGTCACGTGATTGTCCGACGTTCAATCTCGCGTCGCATGGTTCGATCACGACGACGACGGGACTAACGAAACACGTTCGATATTTCCAAGTGTTCGGCGGACTGCGGCGAGGGGAAGCAACGTCGCGCAGTGACTTGCCACCACGTGAACCTCTACGGATGGATCGACCCGACCCCGACCGAAGGTTGCCCGATGGACCAGAAGCCGGCCGGCGAGCAAAGCTGCAAACTGCGCGAGTGCGGCGACAAGTATTACTGGACCGCCGGCGCCTGGAAGAAGGTGAGGGGAAGCGATTTCTTCGCTTCCGTCCGGCGTAATCGTAAGATCGATGGCTCACGTGGTTTTCTCCGCTTTTAGTGCAGCCACCCGTGCGGACGTAAAGGCCGGCAGAATCGCAGGCTTTACTGCCACGAGCGCAGCGGCAAGAAAGTCGCGCGGTACTATTGCCCGGCGGAGTTCAGGCCGCAACGGAAACGCAAGTGCAATCAGAGGAGGTGCGGGCCGATTACCTGTCTGGAAATTCAGAAACGTCTGCGGACTAACGCGGACGGCGAGTATCCGCTGTTGATCGGCGGCAAGAACATGACCGTTTACTGCCACGGGATGTCGAGCGCCGAGCCGCGCGAATACCTAACGCTGCCGGCCGGCGATAGTGAAAACTACGCGGAGATCTACGACAAGAGGTGAGCTATCGGCAGAGAATCGACGGTTTGATTTTCCCACTTCGTTGGGATCGACTCCGGGACTGTGTCCTTCTCGGATTCTCGGTTTTTACCAGAGTATGAGATCGTCCTCCGAGAATATGGCTCGTCCTTATCCGAGGGGGAACTTATGTCTCTCACAGTAGCGAATAGGAAATGACATAGAAAAAACAAATTACCTTTTTCATATACTTTCATATCCTTGGAGATGAAAGTTCGCTTGATCTGCCTTTGAGTCGTGAGAGTCCGTTTGCTTAGGAGACAACTGATATTCTCCGCTTGATCGATAATTCGATAAATTGTACGACTTGAACGAATCAGGTTGAAAAATCCGCACGTATGCCCGTTCAACGGCCAGAGGAACGACAACTGCAGCTGCGTGTCCGAATTCGAGACGATTTCTGGCAAAACGATGTTCAGGAGAGTACGCATAGATCCTGTGAGACTCCACATTATAGGTGAATAATTCTTGTGAAAGCTTAACCAGAAAAACCTTAACTTGATGAGTCGAATGTTCGTTTTCACTCAACGTATGTCTCTTAAACATTTGTTATTTCTTTCGTATCGTATCATATTTAAAATGTTGCTTTATGTTTTCAGCAAACGACTACACGTTCTCATGGACTCACGGGATGAAACGCGTGGAGTACGGCAAAGCCGGCGATTGTTACAGTCTTGCTAAGTGCCCGCAGGGTCGTTTCAGCATTGATCTGAGAGGAACCGCGCTGAGATTGTCGCCGGAAGTCACGTGGGTCCCGGACACCTCGAGCGCCTTTCTCGCAGTTAACAAGATCGTAAGGAATCCATTTATAATAAACTAATAGAACGGCCGTCGACAGACGCACAATGTCAGACTTTTTTTTATACATCTTACATCTTAACATTCGCTATCGCCGAAGCTAAAACATATCAACTAACGGGATCATCCCGTCGATCGTTTTTTGTATTATTACAATAGTTTATTACATTATGATAATCCCCGAAAATTCGCAGTATTAGCATATTGTATTTGCACTTTCCAGAGTAATCAGCAAATCTTCGGCAAGTGCGGCGGTTACTGCGGCTTCTGCTCGCCGAAGATAGGCCTGAAACTGGACGTCTTACCTCCCTAGTCACAGTCGTCGGCTTTTCGCGCTGCACCTGTCTGTTCGATCGTGTGTCACACGATCTCCAACGGAGAATCTTCAGGATGCCTCACGGGATGCTTCACGGAGCAGCGAGAGAAACGTGAACAATCGGGCCCCCGATATCATCCGTTACGCGCGCGCACTAGTAATCCATTTTTCTTCTCATTCTCAGGAAGATCCCGATTTATATTCCAAATCGTCGGCCGTGAGAGACGACTTATTTTCTCTCCTCTCAATTTGTGGCACTCCGTTGGAATCGGACTGTTCTAACAGAGCTAGGAAGGAAGATTCGATCGTTGCGAAAAGTGACGCGTCTAGATTAGTGCTGTCGATACTCGAGTACGCGAGTACGTTGTCACTCGGGCGATAATTCAGATGTTTCGAGACCGCAACTGGGAGAACTGCTGCTTTGGACCGCGAAATTTGTCGGTGCAAGTCTCAAGCTACAGATCTTGCTGGGTCCGCTGCTGCCGCTGTAATTAATCGGACGTGTGACAAGTCCTTCTTGTGACGAATTTATCACTGAAATTTACTAATAGCCGTTACGTCTAATCACAAACGGTAATTACCCGCGCTGTGCTTGCCCGAACTTTCCGAGCTTTCTCGTTTGTATAGAGGAAACGGACTTAAAATATTGAGATCTTGTTTTAATTCTACAATTGTCGAGTGCACATCAACCAACCTTAACGTATGACTCACATCGATGTTATAATTTCGACGGTATGCGTGCGATATCACATGTTTGTAACACAGTTACATCGCTCAGTGGGAAATTGTGATGTGACGTTATTATAGGTAGAACATCTGTACTTTCCAGACATCCAGACGTTTCGGGTGTCGAAGCAGCATCCGTGTATTCGTGTGCTGACCGAACCTGATTGCGAGATGCATGGGGATCGCTCTATCTGTACTGGCAGCATTAATGTAAATAAATGGCGCGCATATCGATTCCGCGACCGCGAGCCGTGGTACTGTAACCACCGACATGCTTTAAATTCGATTAGTTTCTTAGTAGCTCTCGGACGGGGAGAAATATCGACTATGATGATGTGCCGAAATGCAGTTCACGGGGGCGACGAGAATTGCCGGCCGATACGCCGAGACATGCACATGACACCATATCCGAGTTATCACTGCCATCACCTGTGCGTGCGATTGTAGGGATTATGAAAATCATTGTCTTCAAGTAGTAGGGGTCTTCTGCATTGCGGGGTCGACGGTTAGTCGCCTTAGATGACCGGTTCCGGTACGAATTTCCCTTCGATTCTATTAATTAACCGTCGACGCAGCGCACCGTTTATCTCCGCAGATGCGACAGAAACGATTTCTCGGGCGATCACTTCGCCAGAGCGGATCCCGTACTTGAGGCATGCTCTCCGGTCCGCATAGTTGCCATTAAACACGCGACGTCTGTGCATTTAAATACAGGAACACATTTGTGCCAAGTTACAAACATACGTATGTAATCGTGATGCGTCTGTAGGAAACGTTCCAAGTGCGAAGTGTAAAAAAAGTTGCGAAGAATATTCGATGATTGCTACACCCTGCCAAATATGGGAAACTCAGGTTTAATCCGAACAAATATCGGTATTCGGAATCGCATTAATTTTTTTACTTACGATAGATAAAAGAGGAAGGAAGAGATTTTGAAATGAAGAGATTAGAAACTAGGGATTTCGGTGAAGAATAATCACGTATGTTCATCTTGATTTTATCCTTTCATATAATTCGTTAAATTATACGCCGAAATTATGTTCGCATTTCGATCGGTCCAGTTACCGAATATTTATTCTAAAAACAACATCTACAGAGCTATGAAAAAAAGAAACAGCGACCTGTTAAAATATCAATAAATACTCTGACAGTTTGGTCTGTTTTCTCATAATGAACCAAGAATCTCCAGCGGTCATCGGAGAATATCAGGCATGTATTACTTCATACTCAAGCGCGAAGTAATCGATAGTGTAGCACTTGTACTATTGTTTTCTACAGATTTGACGCGTTATGATTAATACTACGCTCTCTTTCGATGATCTTACCATCCTACAGTTTGCTATTAATCGTGATGCACTGCCATATTTTTTGTAGCGTCCTATCGATCGGTAGAAGGAAGAAACATTAACAAGAAGCGATATTTTATTTTTACTTTTAAAGATAAGATATCGAGATAATATAAGCGTAATTGAGCCGAATGTCTTGAAATTAGGACAATTAACGACAATCCGTAATTCCTAAGTAGACGAAAAATTTATATATGCATGTTCAGATATAATGTTTTGCGACATTTTGCATCATTGCAACCCATTTCGAGATTACAATTTGCAGCTGATTGAGAGCAGAAATTTCATGAGGTATGACGAACGGATTCCATTTCGTTGTTTATTTTCTTCTTATACATTTTCTTTTTATGCAATGAGCTGCAAAAAAACTCGTGAGATCGTCGTGAAAAAAAAAACGCTGTAAAACAGCTGTAGGATATTTCTTTTTTTCAGATTTATATATATATAAAAAGATACCGTTCTCGAAATGCGATTTCTAGTTATGTCAAGTATACTTGTATTATGTTACTCTGATACGATGTTATGTGGAATCTGTACAAAACCCGATAATATTTATAGTACGAGAAATACGTATGATAAGTTTAAGATATAAGAAAACTTTATCGCACCGCGCTTGTGTATTAACGTGCAGTGCCAGTTAGTCTTTTAATGCTGAATATAACCAACAAGATTGGTCAGTACAATAATTTACTTTGCTAACGGTCGTGAGACCGTGTCACGAAATGCTAATATGGTTCCGTTTATAGGACACTTCGAACCAGGCGCTTGTTAGTTATATAAACGCGCGCGTATTTTGACAGACTGCTATAGTTGATATGTATATATGTACGTACGTATGGTATGTATGTACGTGTGTGTGTTTATTTTTTATGTATGTGTGTATGGACATGTATGTATGGTGTGTGTGTGTGTATATGTATGTGTGTACACATAATTACGTAATAAAAACGTAATTTTTAAGTACGTAACGAGTAATATCTCAGTTTCGGCTATATTGTAGCATAATAAGATTTGACAAGGACATAAATTGTGCGACTTACCTGGCAAGCGCAGTGCGAGAGTATAGAAGTATTTCCCCCCCCCCCTTTTTTTTTTTACGAACATTTCATGTCGGAATTAGCGCTGTTGGAGTCGCGAGAACTTCGACAATAAGTGAAGAGATTATGTGTAAAGAAACGGCGTTTACGCGATTTTTGTATTAACGTTGAAGAAGTTAGCGACACACGGTGCTGGATAAGCCGAGATGTTCCGTCGCAGCTGGACATGCCATTTCAGGGGAAACCTGTGAACGACGCGACGTCGAAAGCATCTATGCGCGTGCAGAGCAGCTTTTGCAACTCGCAGGTGCTATGGCTATGATTCAGCTGCACTTCTGCGACCGATTCAGCGCGCAGAAACGCACCCTATGTCGCGACTTTACATATCTAATATCGAAGGCAGCTAATTGGTCGGTTATCGATTCGTTGCTCTGCAATCCCATCCATTTCGTGTTCTATGTGTACTTTCTATGTACATGCTGACATATCAGCGTATCATGTATCCCCGAATACGTCTTTTCTACAATGTACATCAGGTATCCGTGAGTGCGCTCTCACGTTTACCAGCCGAACACTTTTTCGAGCGTGAAACGCACTTTACACGGGTGTCTATAAAAATGTGCCAATACCACCACCGAATGTCGTTCTTATTATTCGGATTCATTGGCCGATGGAATAAATTTTCCACCAACTTGCACGACAATATTTCAAAGAATAAAAAACCGGAGTACAAAACAAGATACTTAGGTGATTCATTATCTCTGATGTATATATATATATATATATATATGTGTACTCATTATCTCTGATGTATATATATATATATATATATATATACACATATACATGTACCAGAAATGTCGTCATTCTATTGAGTAATTCTATAATTCTTTACTGCCAATCTCGAGTATTTCTTTATTTATGTGGCGCGATTGTATATTTTACATAAGCCTTAAGTAATTGCTCGAGATATATTTATTTATCTCATAGTGCGAAAAAGAGAGGTAATTCTCGTGTAAGGAAAGTCAATGTACTTGTCGATGTTATCGCGACGTGACGCGCGATCGTAAGAATTCTGTGTGAGAGAGAACCAGTGTATATAAATTATTAAAAATACAATAAATCATTACGTAAGATATTTTTCATTCAAGCTCGTCTGTCTTGTCGTATAGTTAGTGTCTCAGCATTTGCGCCGAAAATCTTATTAACATTAAATACGAGATAGACACATTTATTTTTTTTTTATTTTTTTACACACTATTAAATATAATATATTGCCCGATACGCAGCGACGCTAGATTTATACGAATTAGAAGGTAATCTTGATTGTAATCGTAAACAAGCAGGTACGCAGAGAAGGAGAGAGACAGAAAGAGAGAGACAAAGAAAGAGTGGGAGAAGAGAGAGAAAGAGAAAGAGAAAGAAAGGGAGAGAACATGTGAACATGAAAGATACCATTTATTTATAATTTATAAGAACAAACAAGTAAATTTTTACGTAGGAAGGACACTTTGAGTAAAACACATTTACTAATCGTCGTAGTGTTCGAACATAAAAAAGGAGAACGAATAAAACCAAAGGAACAAGTAACCAGCTTCGCCGATCTCCTATAGGCTTCGCTCGAACAGTATCGCGCTCGTAACGCTTTAAACAACCTATCGGATTCGCTAAACGTTTCTCAAAGCGAAAGCACGGTCATCGTGAGTACGTGTTTCTTTGCTACTTGAAATTCATACGTGTATATATATACCATATTCCCTTTATATGCATATATATATATATATACGTATGTATGTATGTATGTATGTATGTATGTATATATACGTACATACATACACATATATAGATACCAGTGAAAAGAAAAAAAAAATAACGGACTCCGAAGGAACACGCATTTAGACGTGCCTTCTTCTCCCACGCAACTTCCCCTCATCATCTACATGTTATCTATCGCGAGATGAGCATTTAATAAACTAGTAAAGTACAAACAAGAGTCCCATACGCGCGCGAGAGGATACATTAAGCTCAGGTTTACATACTTACAACTACGCTCTTTTTATCTTCTTTTTTTTTTTCATTTTATGAAAACGTGATCCTTGGTACGCCCAATCACGCGTCACACAAATCGTGCTATAGCCACTCTGACTTTCTAATTCGGGGAGAATATCGTCGTTGCGTTCCAATGAACTTCAAACTCTGGCAAGGACGCGTCGCGAAAAGTTCACGTGTCACGTATAGCGGCACGTGAAATTTCCGCCGAGTGTCGGCGATCGATCGTCGCGAGCGGTTAAATAAACAGAGAGCCGCCCTCGCGCTACGAGAGATACACGCGCCTTTCGTCGGCGCAGGATTCTCGCGATTCGATCGATCGACGGCGATAATCTCGGATCCAACGCTAACGACACGGAAATACGGTATAAAAGTACGTGCGCGTAGAAATCAAAGTCTGAGAGCTCTCCTGTGTTCGCATTGCACGGTACATTGGCGCGTTTCGATGTTAAATTAAGTTCGCTTCTCGACGCTCGATGCAGAGAGAAGGAGAGAGAGGGAGGGGGAGAGAGAGAGAGAGAGGTGATGTGAAAAGTAACGACCCCTCGCATACTACGTGTGCGTGCTCGTATGTTTCAGATCTCGCGCGGACTCGAAAGGTAGGAAAAGTATAGAAAGGGAAATGGAAAGAATGCGCCTCTCTGTCGACGTGCTTTGTCGACTTGATATTTGTCAATTCAGGAGGTAGTCCTTCGTTCTGCCGGCGATTATCGAGCTTGATCGGCGATGATCTACGGCGCTTCCTCGTCGACGTCGTCGTCGGAAGAAAAGCAGAGGAACTCGGGCTCTCGGCGCGTCGTTCGCTCGAGTCCTACTCGCGTCTACGAATAGATACGTCCTATCTAGAAGAGGGCGGTCTCCGCGCGCATTGTGTAAAAAAGAGTACAACGAACAGCCTAGGTAGAAGTAAAAAGTGACGATGATGTCTCCGAATAACATCAAAATGAGACAAGAAATGAAGGGACAGATCGACATCAGTTCGATGTAATTTCGATTGTTTCCCGACATCGACGATTCATTTCTCGCCTGGGAATGACTATGAAAACCCATTCTTCGATCATTTCCTCGTCATTCTGACTCTCATCGTTACTTTCTGTTCAGCCTGGGGAAGTGGCTCGCCGCGCAGCCGACGTAGATCATCGCCGGGTTCGGCGGATCGAAACACAGACGCAGAGATTTCTCTTGTGATCACTTTTTTTTTGTGTATATGTGTGTGTGTGTGTGTGTGCAATCGCGATTGAGCCCATGTAGAATGGTCCACGTTTTTGTTTTTCTGTTTTCCTTTCGTGCTTCCGGGCCTACTGTTCACACATGCCGAGAGCGACACAGAGCGCGTAGGGACGCGCAGGTCGCTGACGGCGCGGAGAAACGAGACGATATTACACAGATAGTGTTTTTTTTTGAGCAAGAATCTAAAACATCCTCTCCCTGTTTCAGTAGTTAGCGAACTAGGTCTACGCGATTGATATAAACGCTTGTTGCGCGTGGACGCGCGTGCCCGCCGCTCCGAGACGCCGTTCACGGAAGATCAATGCAAGCGCGCTTTGCGGCACGCGTAAGCACGAAGCGCGCCGGTCGATTTAACAACTGGATGCAGCGTGCGCGCGAGTAACGAGGCATTGCTTATATTATTTAGGCGGACGCGAAGATCATTCCGTTCCTTGAATTTCGTACGTTAAATTATCATTGTCACGTCGG